ATAACGTAAAAATATACGTAAATATTTAGTAATTGCCACTGGACACTTTTTATGATATTTTTACGTTCAACTTGAACGTTTTTTATATGAAAGGCCATTCGTAAATTGCACGTATTTTTCTCGTGCAATTTACGAATGTATGCTGCCTGGGGAATTGCAGTTACTCATTTACAATATCCATTGCAGTTATACCAAACAAAAATGTCACCACATCTGGCAATATCTTGCCTAAACTGTTGCCAGCTTGGCAATATTTCGCCAAATTAGCAAGATACCCATTTACTAAATATTAAACAGACTTGCCCCTGTACTCATATTTTTTTGGCAGAGCATTGTTTTTCTCAAGCTTATCATGTTACATTAAACAGAAAAATGAAATAATTTTCCTAAAATTATCTATCTATCTACAAAATTTGTAACATTGCTTATAACTTGATGCCGTTCTTTGAAGTGTACAGTTCTGTAGTTAACAGATATGTGCGTATTGCATAGTTAAGTTTATTAAAATCAATAGAATACATAGTAAACACCTTAACCACAAAGAGCATTAAAAAATAGTGAGATTGCATAATTGCAATATGTACTGTAATTAATTAATAATTAGCTCAGTCTGCATTTTGTAACCTGTATAGAATTAATTCATATGTAGAAGGAACCTCCTTAATATACATTATCATATGACTCGGTGATTTTATTGTCTAATTAGCTGATGTAGCTTGTGCATTATTGTTCTACATCAGCTGTATCAACTTCAGAACCACGTGATATCTTTCAAAATTTTCCGCTTGGAATCAAGAGAGAATTCCCATAGTAGCATACATGATTAGTTTTGTAATCAAAGTATTTATCAATTGACTGAAATTCAAAATGTTTATTTTCTTTGAAGAAAATAAAAATTTAATGTACATATTTTTGAAACTTACTGTTATAATTATATTTTATAAAGATACATATAGTATAATGGAACCAGATTTTGTGGGCAAAAAAATTTGTGTACCCTTTTGAGTCTTCAGAATTTTCATTAGTTGTTTTACAGTTGAAAACTGCTTATGATTGACCATCTTATCTGATTTCTACTGTGTGGAAACTCTTCTTAAAAGTATATGGATTAGTAAGAGAAAAAGTGGTTATTATTATAGTGAATCTTTAACAAACAATTTATTTAAGGGAATAGATTTATAGCCAAAATATGAATTTAAATTTCGGATCATGATTACTTTAAAAAAACAATATGTACGAAATATTTATTTTCTTGATTGTACAATGATTTCTTTATTATTTGTCTTTATAACCTTCAGATTATGAAAGTGATTCGTAAATCTTTAAGATAAATAAAAGGAGCAACTTCTCTTGATAAACAATATGGAAATATCTTTCAACTAGATAATGATAGATATACTGTACATGGAGTTAATGTTTAATTATAATAAATCTTTATTATTACTGCAAGAGGTTGTAAATGAAAGCATGTCCATTTCTAAAAGAGTGCCATTTTCACCATAAAGGGATGCTTTTGATTTTGAATCAAGAAATTTTCAACTGAAAGTAATGGTATGTAGCAGGGGTAACTAAAACTTCATGTCAGTCAGAGCCACATGTTCAAGAACATTCGAGAGTCGTAACTAGATTTTCCAGAAGCCACAAGTCTATGTATCTTAAAAGTAGTAAAACAGGTTTCATATAGAAAGAACTGTCTGATTCTAAACAATCACTCAATGATAGTTTAATTTTGACATGCGATGATGCGTCAAAAACAATATGAAGTTTTGTGGTGTCTTTATTTTCTTTAAATACAGTTTGATGCAGTAAAATGTACACTTTTTCAGTTTTTAAATACTCTTATTCTTCCATGATACCATCTTGTAAATGCCCATCTGTCACAGCTTTGTAATCACGGGTCATCACTTTGCTACTAGCTTCAATTACTGTGAGTTTTTACTAGTCAATTTAGTTTATTGTTCTAAGGCCATTACACCCAGAGGTGGTGCTGTTATTTTGGCAAAGTCAAGCATTCAAAGCTAAGTTCGTGATTCTTAAAGTTCTTATCAGCGATTGGATTGAGCTCTCGAGTCTAAAGTCTTGAAATTCAGTCTCTAATTTGTATGTACACTATTTACACAGTCTTTTGGATATGCAGAATGATGAAACTTGTGATTTCTTGGTCATGTGACGTGAATTCTTTCCAAAATTGAGATTAATCTGAGGCAAAATTTGTAGAAATTTAACTGCAGGTACTTGAGTTATTTAAATAAATTCATTTTTAGAATTGATGTTGCAGGTTTGATGAATGGAAAATGACATTGGCCTGCAACAGTCACATGTTGCTGGTTGATATGTGACTTGCCGGTTGTCAGAAGAAATAAAAGTAGAAGAACAAAAAATTTCTGTTTACATATGTACAAGATTTACTAACACTAATGTGAGTTGTGGTAAATCGTTCCAGGTCTTTTAACAGTGTTTTCAACTACTGGATCATAATTTACTTTTTCTTGATTAGCTGAAGAAGGAGAATTTTACATTCTTTGGAAGAAATTATGTAGCTTTTTAATGTTTTTGAAACTTTGGATTCTTCTTAAATCTGCACCACAGCCATTCAAATCATTTTCTGCTATTTCAAAATGATCCTGTAATAAACCTGCAGGCTCATTCCATGGCAAATAAGCCATATATCTAGTGTCCTCAGATTTTAAAGATTTTCAAAAGTTTCTAAAGGTGACATCATTTTCTAAGTTGTGACTATCATCAGATTTATTAGAAATTTCCAAAGCTTCCAGCTGCCATAAATTTCTCATCCATTCGTATATCGAATCAACTTTGAAATTATTTTTAACTTGTATCAAATTCTGTATCATGTTAAAAGTTTCTGATGAATTATATGCATTTTTTTTTCAACTTAACAAAACACTCCAAATCTATTTTTCATTAATAATAATGATTCAGAAATTCGGCAGACTGTTCCTGTAAAGCATCTGCAAGCAAATCTAATTTTTTCTTTACAGAATTGTATGATAGAATCAGTACAGTATTTTTATTTTATTTTTATCTTTTTGAATAACATTATTAAGTTTCTTAACAAGAAATTACATAAAATAATTTTGTTTCAACATAAATCAGTTAAAGTTTGCTAATTTTATAAAAATAAATGAAATAAAATTTATTGCTTTCTTTTGGTTATTTGATACATATACGGTACAAAGTCCGAAATCCGGACTGGAATGATCTAAAATCCGGACCTCAAAGGCACAAACATTTTATTTTTTTCATTAATGCTTTACTCATGCGCATTTGATTTTTTCTTCCATAATAAAACATGTGGAGATTTTATTCCGTTTCTTAATTTCACTTAGGCACTAAATAAAATACCTCGTTATGGAAAAACAATCATGTAAGCATAAATTTGTGAGATTAATTATTTGGCTCCGTAGCTGAGTATCTACTTGGCATGCATCTCAAACCGAAAGATTCAAATCCAATTCAAATCAGTGATGTTAAATCATAATTTTACCCTGACTAGCCATTTTATATTCCTGACGCCGAGTGGCATCATTATTTATTATATTTTGCTTTCATCACCCCATGTTTATCAATACATGACAGCTTCAGTAATAACTCATGCTGTGATGTCTAAACTTTTTTTATATTAGTAATTGAATAACAAGAGTATGGCAACCTTTTATGCTAACATTACGCTTGGCGATCATTATAGATTTTTAAATGCTCTAAAAAAATGTTGACGAGAAAAAATTCAACAAAAACTCCTTTTCATATGCTAAAAATAGATTTTGTTAATGAAACTCATAGGCCAAAAGATTACATTTAGTGCTATTTTAATTAAGAATAACTGATATGTTATTCACCATAAACCCTGAAGCGGCGGCAGAATATGTCGTCATTGGACGGCAGGATTTAGAGGACGAAATTTTTGGAATTTGGGGAAGCACCGAGTGGCAAAATTAAGGGATGAGAAGTATTTATGATGTAGGAAAAGCACTGGGGTCCAAAGTTTAGGCACGGTGAAAATTTAGAACTTAGGAAAGCACTTTGTAGCAGAATTTAGGACCCGTAGAGACTGCACCAGGCGGTATTGAGCACCGGCCCTAGATAAAGCCTTAAGTATATGTGGGAGTTTACTTATTCAGGACTCGGATTAGTTTGAAGCATGTGCAAGAAATAAATGTAGGTATAGTAAATAACTAAACTAATACAATTCAGGCTTAATTCAGTACGCAATAGGAGCAAGACAAAATTTAGCAAAACAACTTGGCTTTCATCGCCAATCTTGTGATACACAGCCAGTAATGTATAATGGATGCTATTACATTAGGCTAAAATTATCTTTACTGATTCTAAGGCATTTCAATTAATGTAGCAGACTGCGCTGCTCCCTGATCTTCTAATTTGATCCAGCTTATTATTTTTTGAAGACTGTTATTATTATGTAAATTTTATAAAAAGGAAGCTTGAACTTTTGATTATGTCAAAAAGAGTTTCCAATTCTGGAGTTGCCAAAGGATCTACTAAGTGAAAGCATGTTTCGATGTCCATTAAACAAAAAGTGGAATTGCTGGAAAAAATGGATAAAGGCATATCCATCTCAAAATTATTATATGGCATTGGAAAGTCCGCTGTATATGACACAAGAAAAAAGAAAAAGGAACTTTTTGAATTTTTTGTGGAAGCATCTTAAACAACTTACATTGAAAGAAATGTTTAATAAAGTAAACAAATAAATATCAAGCTTTCTTTTGTAAATTTTGATATCCTTTAGATCATAATTGTTCTTTATTTCATAAATTACAATTTCATATTTTTAATTGTATAATTTCTGCATGCCATCTTACCAGATTTAAATTCATGATCTATTATCCAGAAAACTCCAGAATTGCCTAAGTCCCGACCAGTCCGGACTTTGGACTGTAGTATTTTATTTGCATAAGAGACACACACACCTCACAAGCTGCACTGTGGCTACCCCTGATATATAGCTTACTGCTAAACACATGTGTGATAGAAAAGTAGAATATGATTATGAACATGCTCAAATATCGTATGTGTAGCAATACATTTTTTTCATATTTTGGTCTCTTAAAAAGTCACCTTGGAGGGCAGGGGTCATGTGATGTATTGTAATTATGATTGTAATACATAATGTTGCATTGTTTTGTTGGCTTATTATGATTAGTTTTCAATTTTAGTTTTGTGTCAATTTATCTGTTGAGTGAATATTGGATTGGAATATATATATATCAAATTTACCAAGTAATAAATGATCATTTGTTGAAAGGTTATATTTTAACTTAATGAAGCTAAATTAATTAAACTATTAACCTGTTGTAATGCATAAATGAACCAAACCATTATTTTTTTTTCTTTTGAAGGTGGAAACGGGTATCATCTGATTCCAGCATAATCAAATCAAAAAGTGGTCTTCCAATATTGCAGTTTATTGCCATTCAGAGGAAAGACTGTGGAGAATGGGCTATTCCTGGAGTGAGTTTTCAATGATTATGCAATTTTTTTTGTAAAGTGTGTGTGTATACAGCTCCTGGTAACTTTTTGGCGAGCTTTCTACAATTTCTAATATATAGAGATAGATATATAGATATCACTTCTAAAAATAAATTGACAATATTGCATTAACAACTAATGCTGAACCATATTAAAAACCTGGTCTGTAACTAACTTGATTTAAATATATTGCAGACTTCATTTTTTCAAAGAATTTTGGGTAAAAATATATTTACGGCTACCTCTTGGCGAATATTGGTGATTCTTGGCAGTACATGGAATACCAAGTTTGTGCAATTTTTTGACTTGTTATTTTGTTTTTTGAACCAAAAATCTACACTACACAAAGCCAAAATAACAAGACAAAGAAATGCTTAAACTTGGTATCCATGTACAAAATGACCTATTTTCACTTAAAAAAACATCAGAGAGTTGCACAAACTTGGCATTGCACACTTCCTTAACTTTAACCATGTACACATCAACTTATTTTCACTTTAAAAAAAAATATCAGAGAATTTCACAAACTAGGCATTGCGCACTTCCTGGACTTTGCCCATGTACACATTGAATTATATTCACTCAAAAAGTCAAAGGAGCAGCCAAAACATAAAAAAGGAAATTCGTCTCTGCACTACACAAATGAAATATCCACTTACCTTATTTACAAATTAGCATGTCTTTAGTCAAACAAAATTCCTTAACAGCATTCCAAAACTTTCTAAAATTATCTGTATACTGGCATTGCCACCTTAAATTCACAAAATAAGAGTAAAAAATATCCTCCATAGCGCCGTTTATCATTTGACCATATGCATTTCCTTCCTACAAACAGGAAACTTAATAATGGCTACTAAGTAAACCTTCATTTACACATCAGTCAAGTAATACTCTTTTCCCCAAATCATACAGAAACTTCAAATTAATTTTACCACATTCAGCAATTTTACCATCTAAACTACGAAACAAGCAATATACTTCCTAACTAACACACACATACAAGCCTTTACGAATTTACCGCAATCATGCAACCGGTTACGTCATAATAGGATTTCCACAGTATTCAACTACTCAGGCTACCATAAATGAAACAATAACTTGGCGATAAATGAAACAACAACTTGGCGATAAATGAAACAACAACTTCATGATAATGCAAGAGGTACCCTTCTCTCTACTCTAACCAAATTTTGATCAGGAACTTGTAATTAAATTAGATGCTGATATGATCTGTTTAATGAAATAAGAATAACGTCTGAAAACTTATATAAAAAATAGGAAACCTTTAACATACTTGTCTTTAAGCTAAGTAGTTCTGAAACTTGATTTTGGTTATTTGATATTACGGTTATGAATAAAATAACTGGTAGAGGATATAAAGCATTTTCTATATTATGTTGAAAGCTGATTCATTTGACTACAGAGCATGTAAAGATAAGCATGTATCATATCCTCTGGTGATATATTCTGCCTGTCAGAACATGTGTGGCTTGGAATGTACTAACAGAAGCATACAATCTAGACCAGTAGATTAAAAAATTTTTCACTCCATGTACCCCTTTCGTTATTGCCAGGTCATTCCCTCACCCTTCTTTTCAAAACTCGAAAAATATTTGTATATATTTATTTACATTTAGATCTAATCTGTTTTATGAACTAAACAAAAAAAATATTGTATGTTGGTAAATATTAAAATTTAAATAAAAGTAGTTTTTTATATTCATAAACTAAATACTTAACAACTAAATAAAAGGCTGATCATAGCAACATAGCCCTTGAGTGCTTTGCCATACTTAAATGAACCAAATCAAAAGTCTAACCACATTTTTCTTCTGAAATTATGAAATTTTCCCTGCATGAGAACCCCTGATCTAGACTGTCTTCTGTGAGCTGTATGGTGAATGTTCCAACATGCTTGAATAGTAATCAGGCCCTATTATCATTTTGAAAGGAAGAATGCAGTTCTTGCTCTTCAAGATGATAATGTCATAATACATGGAATTGGAAATGCCCAGTTTGAGGTGCAAAAAAATGATATTAACAATTTTCAGACTTCATACAATCACCAGGCTTGAGCCACTGTGGCCTGTTTTGGAACTATGACCTGTTCTGTTTTCTTGCCTGCCTTTTTCCCATATTTCAAAAGGAAATTGAGTGGCACAACATCTAAGTACTCACAATCCATGACTTGTTTGTGTTTCTTACTAGGAGGTTTTGATTTGTTTTTAATGCCAAAGGTAAATATATGGTCTATTAGATAGATATGTTTTCTTTTTACAAAATGGTCAAATTTCTTTGCTAGTTTCTATAGAATATGTGTAATTTTTTCAATTTTTCATTTAATTTTGTTGTCGTTTTAAAGTATTAATTTAATCTATTTGTTAAGATTAAGATTAGAAATATCAGTTTAATTAGCATTAGGATTAGAAATATCAGTAAATAACACATTTGGATGTTTAACTTGGAATATTATTTAGTTTTCTTGATTATTTAAAAATGTTAATAAAAATGTATGCTTAAAAATTATGTTAAAATTTGTGCTTTTTTTTTTTTTTTTATTTTTTTATATTTTTTAATTGCATAAAATTTGTTTTAAAGGGTTTTAAAGATCCAAATGAAGCTAGTTCTACAGCTGTGTTGCGTGAACTTTTAGAAGAGGCAATTAACTTTGAAAAACTATCTGAAGAAGCTAAAAGAGCTATTACTGATTTCTTTAAAACAGGCAAACAAGTATGATTTGTTTAATCCATTTCTTATTTTCCTTTTTATAAAAGATAGGGAAGTTACATGTTCTTTTTTATTATTCATCGGAGTATTCTTTTTTCTTTAATGGGTTTAGTATAATCATTATCAAAGATGTCTGGTCTGAATTAAAGTGTACTTACTGTAGCCAGAATGAAAAATAAATGTGTATGTTCTTTTAGATTTGCAACAATTTTAATGGATCAAGTTGTGGTTTACTAGATAAATCCTGGTAATTTTGACTCCAGGTTTAAATTTCATTTATGCATTCAAAATTTATAAATGGAAGCCAGTCTCCATTTAAAAGTCCATAACAAGCAATCTATCAGGTTAGGCAGATAGTCTTAGTGTGCTTTGCTATAATTTAATAAATCCAGTGCATTATTCTTTTAATTAAAATCTTGTATATTATGTAAAAAAATCAATGTATATTTTATTTCTATGATTAGAAAAGCATATCTGGCTATGTTTTCATATTTATTCTATGAATTATGCAGCCCATTTTCAAAATTTGCTTACATATGCTGTCCCAGAAGAAAAGAAAGAAAATTCAAGGTAAATTAATATTTAAAATTTAATTTCAGCAATGTATTGCATAAAATGACTATAACTATATTTCTACAATTTAAAATATAAAAAAAAAATCAAAAATGTTTGGATAAAAATTTAATAAAAATAATTTGTCTTCCACTTCAAGTCCATTCATTACCTTGAGATTATTTTACCCCCCCAATTAGTTTATAAATCTACCTAAAGGGGGGCAGTATATATTCAAGGTAGTCAAACTTAGCTTTGTTAGTTTATCTATGTCACTGAATATGTACTGCCCCCTTTTAGACAGATTTACAAACTAATTTTAATTTCTAATGACAAGTAGTTTTAATTCATGTGTGCCATTATAGTTTGAACACAGAAGCATAATAATCTCTGTTTCAATTTTTTACCACCTCTGTATTTTTTCCCTTAAAAACTGGTGGCTGGTTAAGCAAAAATAAAAAAATAAAAAATTTTTAATGGAATTTGGATTTCATTCTCATTATCACTGGTATACATACATTTAAGTACACTAATAACACTTAAGAATCATAACTTCTGCAGGAAAAAGTATATTGCAAATAGTGAAAATTATTCTTTAGTTAATTTCAAAAATGCTAAGTTTGAGTCTGAAAAGCAAAGTTCATTAACTGCAGAAACTTTAAAGTAAATGCAATTAAAGTAAGGGAAATTTTTAAAGCACTTATATATAACTGCATAACTAGCATTATGGGCATGATAGTAAAACTACCTTTTAAGTCGTCTTGTATTCTACAGCAGTCCAGTGCAGACTGAAAGCTCCTGTTGTTGGGAATAATGTATGAAAAAACAAATAAGTTCATCTGAAAGCACCAGTTTTTTTTTTTTTTTTTACTCTGTTGGTGACAGTTGCATAAACAATCTTGATATTACATTCCCCAAAGGAGTATAAAAATTGCTCTATCAGCCAGGCTTTGTGTTATTCATATTGTAAGAAATTTTCACTCTGTGTTGGACTGTTTCAGTATGTGAGACAGTTTTCCTTAGAATGTTCTCCACAAAGACATCCCTTCCTTTATGAAGACAGCTCTAATATGCTCTTCGTAATCAAATAATCTGGTTCTATTCATTGATACTGATTTCTGAATCTGCTGAATAACCTGAAATGTGATTATGTGGCTGTTCTAAACACATGCCAGTTATCCGTAACTAACTTTAAAATCATTAACATTCAGCATAATAGCAGAATTTTTAGTTTATTTATGAGATATTTTTCATTTATGGGGATATGCAGATGTTCTTATATTGAATATTCATTTCACTACATATTTGTGTAGAACTCTGTTAATATTTTTCATGGTCTGAGCATATGTAGGTCACTTTCAAAGTTTTGAGATTCCTGAGTAATACTTCCCACAAAAATCTTCTAGTGTTTCATACAAAGGAAATGCTCATTAGTGCTGTATGTGAAGAAAACCTTACTGCCAGCACCTGTTAAACAAGTTCATATTTGTCTCGTTGACATTTAATTTTGAAGTACTATGAAAATTATTTGAGCATTTTCATGTTTTAAAATTTTATGACATTAAGAATGGACTAATTAAATGCCAGTATCTTGAATGTTTATGTGATGAATTTGGAATTTCCTCCTCCCCCCCCTTCCCAAGCTTTAGTTTGCAGGTGATCCAATGAATTCTGAAGAGGTATTAGTCTTTGCAAAATGAAGATGATTCTTGCAAACAGGTCGTTACTTCAAATCCTTGAAACAGTATGCTTCTGGAATGTGTTTAAGTGAAGACAGTTATATAACTTATTCTTTAATTTAAGATATTCTAAATATTAGATTAAAAGCTATTTGGATATGAATTGCAATATGGGTAATGCGAGTGTGATTATGTGTAATGTGAACGTGAGCCAGTTTACCTTTGAAAGTCTCCCACAGAGGCACCTCTCACTTTATGCAGACAGCACTAATATGCTCTTTGTAATCAATTCTCAGTTCATCATATCAGTGTTTAGTTTTCATAATAAGATGGCTAGAAAAAATGTTTTGTCTTTTTATTATTAATGTTTTGTATGTTAACTTTATTTATTAAATATCATGATCTTTAGACTTGTGCTACATAAAATTCAATTCAACATTATAATCACCAGATATTTAAAAACAGCATCTTTAGAATTTTCCATACAGAGTTTCACACACTGGAGATAAAAATGTTTTATTCTCCACAGTGTTGCCACAGCTCACTTTCATATCTTTGAGTATGTTATTCAAAAATTCATTAAAGTTTTACAAAATATGAAATATATAATAAAAAAAATAAATTATATTGGAAAATAAATTGGGTAAAAAAATAAATTGCATAATTGCTATTTTTTTAAAGTTCATGATTTTTAAAATTTGAAATAATTGCACATCAATGTAAATTAGTTATGATATTATTCAGTTATCAAAAATATTTATTTATTTTTTGGTAGGTTTATAAAGGATATGTTGATGATCCACGAAATACTGATAATGCCTGGATTGAGACCACTGCTTATAATTTTCATGATGAAACTGGAAAAAGAACTGAAAATATAGTTCTTGATGCTCGGGATGATGCTGCAGATGCTAAATGGATTGATATAGTAGAAGATATGAAAATATATCCTACACATAATGACATTATTAGAGGTGTATTTGAAATGCATTTGAAAGCTAACTTGAATTAATTTTAATTCACTTACTGCTGCCAATGGCAACATTGCTTGTAAATTCTGATGAATTTTCAATGAAAAAAAAGGGGGGCAAACTGCTGTACAAAATCAGATGATGAACAAAATGATATAACAAATATATCTGTAAAGAAATCTACTAATGGTTAAAATGGGAAAATATATTAATTATGCTTTTTATTTGAAAATATAATATGAAATGATGTATGATGATTTAGTGTTAAAAATCTGTCCTAAGCAAGAGTTTAGGGAGAACAGAATTTTTTTTTTTTTTTAATTCAATGAATGTCCTCAGTTATTAAATTGGTAAGTAATCATAAATTGTGAATTAGATTAACATTCTATGCACGTGATGTGTGTCATCTGTAAAGAAGGCCCATGCCTATTTTAGCTGGCTTCATATAATGTTACATGCTGTATGATATGTTTGTAATAAATACAAAGGTATTTATTACAGTGTCATTTTAAATCTGCCGAACTTTTTTTATAAATAAACATATACATTTTAACAAATTGTCTCATTATTATATTGTGTACTGTTTTTACAATATCTCATGCAGATTATCCATATTAACTTATTTTCTATTGAAGGGAATAGGTTTATATATGTATTGTGAATTAAAAGATATAACTTTGGATACTTTTAGTAATGATATGAAAAACAATCCATGTGGTTTGGGGTTCAGAATAACCATATCATGAATTGTGCATTCATATTTATTTTAAAATCACTTACAATTATAATTTTAAATGGCTTTAGTATAAATATGAATGCATTTGTTAACATTTGTGATTTTCTGAAATTTAATCTTTGCTAATATTCTTTTTGATGAAAATATTCTATTTCATTAGTATTAACGGTTACTTTCTCTGATGCAGTTCATATAAAGTACTTAGGTGTTATTCTAGATGTCAAATTAACTTGGCTTTACATCAAATAACTAAAGCAGATCATCAAATCCCACCTTCTGTCTTCTTAACTTGGAACTGCTAAATTTCATTAAAAATGTATCTATAAATCAATCAGGTCTGTGTTTATATGTGCAGTTCCTATATGAGATGTTTACTGCTAAAACCCATATTGTAAAAATGTAAATATTTTAATGTGAAACGCTCCATTTATTGGTAAATATGGTCTGGTACATCCACAGTGAAGTGATGCATTAATATACAAAAGTTCCTTTAACTGATTTCTGTTAAATTTAAATTGTTGCAAGATTTTTTTTTCTTTTTTTCAAAACTGAAGAAGATTATCCAGGTTTTAACCATGCAAGGTTTAGGTGCTAACTCACTGGAAGATGCATCACTTTGAACCATCAGGGAAAGACAAAATTGTAACAGTGCTGTATGAATAAAGTTGAATTGCAGCTAGTGCTGCCTAAGCTAATGTAAGAGGACATATCTAAACATATGAACAGTTAATAAATAAATTGAAAATATATATTAATGCAGAACTATGAACACAGTTGAATATGGGTAACAGCATTGAACACACATATGGATTGAATTGCTGAGTAGGCAGTGGCACAGTATATAATAACCGGGCCAATTATGTGCAGATTTGTTACTACTAGTGTTAATGGCACGGTTTTTACACAATGTTTGACAACTGCAACCTTACAATTCAGCTTTTTTGGTTCTACAAACATTTACTGCCAATTATCAATTGAAATAAAATATAAAAGCATTCCACAGAATATGAAATGCTACATTTTTTAATGCATTAGCTATATCTTCATCTAAAATTATAAGATAAATTAATATTTTATTAAATAAAATATTATTTATTAATATTTTATTTACTCTTAAGAGATGCAGGCTGCATGCCGTTTGCAAGTGGTCATTGAACAAAAATTACCATATTTGCTGGCATATAAGACGCACCCCCTTTTGTATACACATTTTTGAAGGATAAAATTTTATTACTGATCATTATTATGCATTTACAGTAAAATACAAAGTAATACTTTCTGCAAATACCCAATATATCTGGGAAAGAAGAGCTTTTAATTTTCTTCGTCAAAACCTAAACCCTCATCACCAGAGCTAAATGAAGAGTCACTTGAAATCTCTTCTAAATCACCATCTGAGTCCTCATACAAGAAACGTCCTCTGTACCATCCAGTACATTATTAATGCCACACTTCTTAAATGAGTTAGCCAATGTCTCTGTTTTCACAGAGAAACTTTGACCCATTCACAAACTTGCAAAATGCTAGGCCTCTTCCCTTCTTCCTGATGGTATAACCTCAAAATTTGAAGACTGCATCCAGCTTGCATGTTATGTTATAGCAATGTTGACTTTGTTTTTGAGCCATAACTTGCCAAGAAATTTAAGAAAACCGAACGGTAGAAATTTCACACACTTAAAGTTGTTCGCAAAAATTAGAAAGTTTAAATGAACCCAGCTGTGATCGTCGATGACAGCACATGTGCATTTACTAAACTCTATGTAACTGTAATATTCAGCAAGGAAACATGGAAAAAAATTGCATAGCTCTGAATAGAAGAAATTTCCAGAAATGAATGTAATCAAAAATTGAGTATCAACGTATAAGACGCACCCCATTTTTCAGACCTATTTTCAAAGAAAAAAGTGCGTCTTATATGCCAGCAAATACGGTATATCTTATTGAAATTCAGTATGACCTTTACAAATATTATAATTTATATATAACAAATTAATTTTTTTTTTAATTTCAAAACATTTTTGTATGAAATGGGTGAATCTGCATTTCTTTATATGATGAAAAATAAAGACAACAAGCTGCTTTCTCATTTAGCTTCATAAAATAAAATTTCAATTAAAAAAATTACTTTAATGAATGGATACACATTTTGTTATATCAGTGAATCTTTCCTTGAAACTTCCATTTTTAGGTTGCTAAGAAATTGAAAATTCTGGCATTAGGAGAAATTTACTGAAAATGTTTTACAAAACACATCTTTAGAATATTTTTTAACAGAAAACCAAAGATTAATATGCAAAAATAAATGATAATGCTAAGGGGCCTGAATTTCTGGTGCAGAATTACACGGAATCAAGCAATATGTTTTATAAAATATCATATGGCACTTGACGATCCTTTACCTCATTCACAAATTACTTTTTTTTTTCAAGCACTGGACTGGTTGATTGCACCTCTTGAATTGAATCTCTGTTCTTCAATCTATATTTTTTTACACTTTTTACATCAAACTTTAAACTTGCAATCTGTTCATTATTCAACCTCTCACCAATCTTTGGAAATACAGTATTATTTATCAAGTATTCTACAAGGTGGTGTTTCTCTTTTAGATTATTAGTTACATTTATAATTTCTGTTATTATGAAATCTTTCGCACGGATTAATATTGATGATGGACTTTGTAAACTAGCAATAAGGGGCCTTGCTATACAAGGTGTACTTTTTCTTAACATTTCCTTGTCAAGATTATGCTCTGTTTTATTCCTCTGCCTTATAAATTCTCTATTTAATTCTTCATCATCTAGTTCTAAATACTGAAGTAATTTTTTCAAAATAAATAAACCTTCATTAAATCTGTCAGGTCCAAGTTCAAATTTATTATGATGTATCATAATAGTCTGAATTTTCTGCAAAAATTCCTGACAACTTTTTCCACTCAAATCAGCAAGATTCTTAATTTCCAGGAATTTTAAAAGGGCACTATATGAAGTTGACTGATGAGTGACATCCATGTCACAACGTGTATAATTTGGACCACTAGGTTCAAAACAAATAATATCTGGTATATTGATATTATTATCATGTTCTTCTTTATTTCTATTTTTATTTTTTATTTCATTCCAAAGTACTGCATCAGTTGCTAGTTGATTTTCATCAGATAAAGATCTTGTGTCTCCAGAATATTTAAATATTACATCTTCCTGCTCAGGGTTTATTATCCATCCACTAACTAATGATTTGTGATTATCAATACCATATCTTCCAGAACGATGATTTGCTGGTATACTAACGAAATTCACTGTACTTTTCATATCTTTAGTTACAGATATTTTTGTATACCACTCAACTTCTTCTGCGTGTTCAAATCCAAAACTCTCAAACAATTTTTTATCTCCCATAGGTACAAATACTTGTGGTTGAGGCCACTGTTTTCTTTCATGGTATTCCAATAGTTTTTGCATTGAGCTTTTATCTACATGATCCCGATGATTGTGTGAAATAATTACAATATCAATTTTAGGTAGCTTTTCAATGTTAGGATGGGATTTCGTTTTTTCTGGATAAAGGATTCGACTCAAGTTATTAAATACTGGGTCTGTCAAAATATTAAAATTGAGAATTTGAATTAGCTGTGTTGCATGACCTATATTCTGAATAACATATTTTTCTCCAGCAAGCAAATCATGTGGATCATCAAGTTTATAAATTTCATCTTTATCTTCATCTTGAGAGAAATAGGATAATTTTTTATTTACATCTTCTGATACAAATCGGGAACATGTATTGAACAAAGTCCTTTTGACTTGGGTCTCTACAAAAATTCTTGAATCATTGTCAATATTCCTCATTTGAGGATTGGTAATAAACTGACCATCAGTTCTCTCAAGGCGTTTAAAATTTACATTACTAAACTTTCCTTGTATTTCAGTAATATAATCACAATTGACAGTAGTTAACTGATGTGCTTCCATGATAGTTCCATCATTATATTTAAAATATTACCTTTTTTATAAATATTCCCTTTTAATAAAATAATTATATCTCTCAACATTCATTTATCTTTAAAAAAGTCCATTAGCAGATTAATTTTCTTCACTCATCCTGAACCTAATTTTATAAAACAAAAATACTTTTTATTTAAAATTATTTTGAAAATTTTATATCTAAATTTAAATTTATAACTTTTTATTTATTTATCAATATATAAATACTGTTAAATTTCTAAATTAGTTTGGCGGGGAGAAGGAAGTCTCTTTCAAAAAATATTTGTTTAGATTTTGTTTTACAAAATTTTATTTTTGATTGATAAATTATTTTATTAAAACATACCATTCCAACTATAGTTATTACTTTTACAATCTTAAAAAATCAAAAAATAAATTCAAATGATTCAAATTTTCTTGGATGTAATGGATATTTTCTATTGCAGATTCTTTACTTTCAAGTTATATAAACATGATGTACAATGATGTTGATATAATATGAGAATTAAATCATGAATATATATCATCATTTCAATATAATTTAAATGCCTTGTTTTATTAATTTTTTTTCTTTTATTTCAAATCCCATTTCCTCATACACACTGTTTTTACAAAAGTCCTTATCCAGCCTTTATTTTCGCAACTGTTGGTCATACGTCTTGAAAACTGTTGGTCTTACAGTACTTCAGTACTGACTTTTGTAACTGGAACAGTATAATCTTCTGCAGCTGAAAGTATAGTATGTACTTCCACTACAATTACAGAAGTATTTTAAATGACGGATATATTCATGTTTGGCATTTCTAAATTTAAAGAAATCAATTTTGTAAAAATTACAGAATCTAACTTTTTAGACATTCTTCTGGTCTTCCTACTTATATTTTTACCATTATAAAGAAAAAAAAATAAACACAAAAAGTTGCTCTCCCGTATAACAAAAATTGACCGAGATATTTAATTTGAAAATTTGATGTCATTTTAAATTTATATTGAATGTTTGGTTAATAAATAAATTAGAATAATTCCAGACTGGTTTTTTCCCCCCTAAATGTCATTCAATGATATTTTTCTTGTAATTTTACACAAGTGCCTTTAATTTATAATTTTGTTATATTTGGTACGTCGAAAGACTTTTCACACCTGATTTGTAAGTTTTCAAATGCTACAAATACATTAGTACTTTCTTGCAGTTTTATTTCTGTTATCATAATTACACAAAAAAATTATTAAACCAGATTTTTGTTTTAATTAATGCAAATAATAATAATAGTTGGCTATGGGCCTGCCAATGTTTTTTAGAACATAATTTGTTTTGAGATTCTGTGAATAAGATCTCCATTTTGAAAAAAAATTATATTGATGAATACTTTTCTCATAAACCTTTCTTCTTCACTAGATTTTATTTTTAATTGTATACAAATGCAAACATTTCACTCTTCGATTTGTGTACAGCCCCTGAGTATGGTCTATGATCTTTAATATCAAATATCTTGGTTATTTTTTATTATTTTACCTTTTGTTATTTAATTTTTTATGAGTATAAAATTAAGTACAAGGCCTGGGGTGATATATTAAAAAATTATATTTCATAATTTTTATAAAATTAATGTTTTTAATTTCAAAATGCCAAAATATGAATATTTGCATCATTTAAAATACTTCTTGTACTCAAAGTTTATGTCTACAACCAACAGTTTAAATAAATTCTAGGTAAAGACATTTATAGACATGGTATGTGTGTATGCTGAATTTCAGATAACTGAGTATATAATTAACACAGTTCACAATAGAAAAGCCAAATGATTGGAAGAAAAAATTCCTGGTCTAAAATTATAAAAAGAGTCATTTTAATTGCTATCAACTTGAATATCAATTGCCTACATTTAAATTATGCGAGATTTTGAATATAAAAAGGGCATTTCAGCCATAAATGCAGGTGTACAATAGCATACTCAATTACCAAGCTCCAACAACCATGAAAAACTGTCAGAGATTAAAAGCAAGATGATTATGGTGAAAGTTAAAAAGGAAATCACCGAGAAGCGTAAGGCAGTGGTTCCAAAATGTTTTAGGATTGTGACCCTAATTTAGGTGCTCAAGCCACACTGCAGCCTCAAAGTCTCAGGAATATGTATTTTGTAATGTTTGGACCTTTGTTATGCAGTCTTCACTAAATTTGTGGCCTTAAAAAAATTTTTCACAGCCCCAAGTTTGAGGACTAGCAATTACACCAATTTAATTATTATTTCACTTTTAATATAAATGGAAAATTCTGAATAAATATATCAACTCAATGTTTAATTTATTAGTCATTCAGTTATACTCCATAAATAATAAACTTCTACAGTGCAAACCATGTTAATAAGTAAAGTTTTTAAGGTTGAAAAAATTAATTTCATTATCAACAGTTTAATAAATATTAAATATTACAGATAGTAATTATTTAAGAGATAATAATATTAACTATTAATAATAGATGTTCAGTGATTAGTCAACATATTTTAAGCACTGGAGAATTACACAGTTTCAATTCCTCTTTTTCTAGATGCTTCTTTCAGTATTGTACAGGCACTGAGATATTCTTTCCTAGGGCCAGCTATAAGCCTAAACAATACAGAGTACTGATTTTCACAGGGAGGGCATTAGCTTGTTATCAGAAGTGACAACAAAATATATATTTTGCTTTAAATTAATTTGCAATTTAAGTTTAATTTATGCAGGGCACTAACAGTATTGATCATCTAGAGAGCTGAAAATACTAAATGTTTTTTCACAGCCTTAATTTTAGACAATTACTTTGAAATCTACTTATAAACAGTGCACTACTAATCATGTGCACTTTTTTAAAATAATGCAACGTATAAATGCCACTTCTATTTCTAAAGGCAAAATAATCTTCCGTCTGAAATTCAAAAAAATTACAAAAAAAAAGGAAAGTTTATAAAAATTATGCGAAATGAAATTTCGGAAAATAACGACTTGAAAACCAGAACGACAGAATAGTACCTGTTTTAAATATGCACCAGAAGTGAACTCTAAAAGGGAAATTCGTTGATTATTAAAACAGGTGAATCAGCTATACGTTTACTTTTGCCATCTTATCACAGTTAGCAACGCTTGATAAGACGCCTGACAGCTTGATAACATACACAAACTTCTTATTAAAAAAAATTCTACTCGGATCATCTACAGTGCGTTCTATAAATAACACAAAATTAACTGCATTACGACTTAACGACTAAACATTGCTGCAAGAAGAAATGTATATGGAAGCGAGCCACATTTCACCTTGACCCTTTAATATAGACACTGTTTAAAAAAAAATCACCTTGACCCTTTAATATCAGCACAACGTTTAAACGTAAATATAATCAATGGCATGCATGTTTCAAAAACCGGTCGCAATCCGTTTATTTAAAGAGGGCATCTGCGACACATTGAAAATTCTCGAATTGTTGGAGTTATTCTTTCGATAACTCATTTTACTTTTTAATTACATATATATAACACACATCATAGTTATTTACATTCCCTAAATCTAACGGCTTTAGATTTCTCTCTTGCTTCAAATAACGAACCATGAAATGAAACGTGTTGCCGTTTCTTGCAGTCTAATAATTAGCAGCAAAGGCAAAATGTGCTGCGTTCACTTTTCTCCATTTGCGCTTTTGAGAAAAAAATCCTCTTTTTACTGTACTCATCAGCTATTTCTGTTGTTTCTATATCAGTTTAAATATAAAATTTGATAAACTTCTGAATTCTATGGTTAATACAATAAGAAGGAAAAGTTCAGAAAATAGGAAGAAAGAAAAGTAATGAAATAAGAAGGAAAGTTTGAGAAAAGTTTTGTTAGTAATCTGGCGGCAAGCAACTAATGTTTATCGTGGAATTGGTGTTCTTCACGTGTGTGTGTTTGTTGTTGCAAGCTGATTTTTTACTGTATTTAGATGTTATAGTGATGTAGCGATGAGGAAATTCAAAACTACTTTGTTTGTCATAATAATTAATCTTTTCTGTTTTCTTTTTTTTAAATATCAGGTGAGTACATATTTAAAGACTGCACCATTAGGAATCAATTTGATTTTTAATAGTTAATAATTTATTGCTGAATAATGCTACGGATGAGAAGCTAATTAGCTTACAATATGAGTATCTGCAGTGAACAAATTATTAATATTTGTAATTTTGTGCCCAAGTCTAATGAAAATTGTGTCATCCCAGTAATGAATAATATTCCAGATGATGTAATTGAATCTTCTAAACTTCCTGACATTTTAATGTTGCAGAAAAGTGAAATTGCTGTATCTCAGTCACAACCAAGTTCTCACATTTTCAATGTCTCCAATAATAAGATTGGTATACAGCAATCGTATGAAAGCCCTGCCATTTTAATACTGCAAAAATGTGAGAATGCTACATCAAATCTAAAACCTGGCATATCTGTACTTCCTAACAATATTGATAGTGTATCTCAGCCTCATAAAAAGAGTGGTGTTTTAATACTACAAAAAAATGAAAATGCTATTTCTCATTCAAACCTTATATTTCAAAATTCTGCCATGGCTGGATTTTCTAACAGTGCAGTTTGTATATCTCAATCACATGAAAGTCCCAGCACTTTAATATTGCAGGACAGTAAGGCCATACTTCAGTCACAAAGATCTCGTATGTCTTTACCTCATAGCAGTGCAAGTGGTGCACTACAATCAAGTGGAAACACTGGCTCTTTAATATTACTGAAGAATGAGAATGCTGTGTCTGAATCACATGGAAGTCCAGATATTTTAGTACTGCAGAAAAATGAAAATATTGTGTCACATCAAAGTTCTCGCATGTCAGTTCTCCACAATGGTATGAACAGTGTGTCAGAATCACATAAAAATGCTGGTACATTATTATTGATAAATAATGAGAATATTCCTTCTCAGTTGCATCATAGTTCTGTCATGTCCATAACACATAACAAGAAGATGGATATGCCTCAATCACTTGAAAGCTCTGGTATTTTGCTGGTGCAGAAAAGTATGAATGCTGTATCTCGGGCACAAAGTTCTAACACATCTGTACTGCTTAACAGTGTACCTTACCCACGTGAAAATACTGGTACATTAATACTACTGAAGAATGAGGAAGCTACATCTCAATTATATCAAAATTCTGCTATGCCCATACTATGTAATACAGAAAATACTGTATCTAAATCACAGGAAAAGTCCAGCATTTTAATTCTGGAGAAAAGTGAGGATACTGCATCTCAGAATTCTCATACTGTACATAACAGTATAAATGGTATGTCTGAGTCACATCAAAATGGTGGCACTTTAATACTGTTGAAAAATGAGAATACTGTATCCCAGTTCCCTCAGAGTTTAGGTACATCCAACTCTAAAAGTGGCACTATTCAACCACACACAAACTCTAGTATTTTAATACTTCAGAAGAATGAAGATGCTGCATCTCAGTCACATCAAAGTTCTAACTTTTCTGTTATAAGTAAAAATGAAAGTGCTGCATCTCAAGCACTTCATAGTTCTGGCATTTTCGTGCTCAATAATTCTGTAAATGGTATATCTCAGTCACAGGAAAATACTAACATTCTGTTACTGCAGAATAGTGAGAATACTCCCCCTCAGTTATATAGAACTTCAGATACGTCTGTGCTCGATAAAAGTATGAATAGTATATCTCAATTGCATGAAAACCCTGGTATTTTAATTGTGCCAAAAAATGAGAGTTTTGCATCTCAAGTATGTGGAAGTTCAGGCATTTCCGTACTTCATAATTCTGTAAGTGAGGTATCTCAGTCACATAAAAATGCTAGCATTTTAATGCTGCAAA